GTGTCTGTGTTCAAATAAGTTATATGATTTCGTAGTTTCTTCATTTCAATTTGAACAAGTCGTTAATAAATAACGCCAACTGTAAACTTGGCTTGAAGATGACCCTGATGAATATTCTGTAACAATTACCCCTTCATCTTCCAAATACTTACTCAATATAACTCAAAACTTCAGAAACAAATTAAGATGATTTTCTATATTAAATACAAAATCAAAAGGATTTTATCGTCTTTTGAAGAAAAAATATTAAATATCCTTTTTAAATCCAGGTAAATCGCGAAATGCAACAACAATAGAATGATGCATTAAGATTAACATATATCAACTTACAGTAGAAATTTGATTAGGCCTATAGAAATATAAAAGGAAATTTTAATAAGTGTGTAGGGAATATCCATCATATATACTCCAAAAATTAACACGGGGACCAGTGATATTGAAGTCCATGATAAGCGTGTACTACTTAAATATTCAGCATGTTTAAAGTTTCGTATTCTTTGGTCTGAAAGACACATATTGCTGCAATATCGATATAGCAGTAGAATCCCTGAGCATTTGACAAGAGATCATGATCGTATTCTCGTACAGAAAGATAATGCATTATTACAAATACTAATAAAACTAGAGGTACTGTGAGCAATGAGCTCACTAAATGATACCCCCGCCTCCCATAATGTCCATGTGTTGCTATATATTGTTTTATGGTAATGTGTGAAGAGGAATAACTCGTCCTATCAAATGTTATCCAGAAGCTTCTATATGTACATCATGTAACGTTATAGGCTAACATATAATGGCAATGTCCATGTTTTGCTATTGAAACCTAAAATATGTGTCGGAAAAATGTAAAATAAGAGGTGCACAATGGCAATATGTAATAAAGATTCTGTGAAAGTTTCATTAAATTTCACTCTGTAGTATAAGAGGAGCTGCGGATAAGAGAAAAAGCGTAGCAGACGACGGACGGATGGACGGGGCGGACGTAGAGACTGGCGGACGGAAATCCCTATTACTATATACCCTCCCACTTTTCAAGCGGGGGTATAAAGAAATCAATTTTAAGTTCAGGCAAATAAGATTCTTACAATACAGTCACATTGATATGTACTGCTCTTTGATATAAGACTGTCAAAATACTAAATATACTGAAAGGAAAAAGAAATGCAGGGTAAACTTTTGAGGTGAATTAAATTTGTTTTTCTTTAATAACTTTTTAGTTTTTCTAACTAACTTTTAAAATCATCTCTCAAAGAGATATTACCAAATTCTCATATGATTTTGTGTAATTATTCATGAGTTATTGAAGCTCAAATGACGATACCCCCCAAAAGGGAAAATCGAAAACTCTCATTATCTTCAATGTCCATCTCGTGCATCTGTCAGAGTCTTATTTCTCCTTTGCATGGAATTTCATCAGAGTGTTTATCTTTCAAACCCTGGCTATATTTAGCATGGGTAACCACGCAAAAAAATAAGAAACGGCGCGCGCATGCGCCAGTGAGAGGAATACAACAGTAAGTTGACTGGCTCAAAAAACCAAATTGCGGAATTGTTTTCTTTCAAGTTTCGTATAAATGTAATGATTATAATCGTGTTCACTGTAAATTGGCTGTTTTTGTGGTAGTAAGGTGGCGATTTAAGAGATGGCAGGACGAATAACCCGCTCGTAACATGGCTCTGATTCGCGTTAACGTCATCGTCACGGTTGATTGAAATCCACTCCAGACCCTCTCTGACAACGGCTAAAAAGTTTTATGGGGGAAAATTTACAAGAGACTGCTTAGTAAACTGTTGTTGCCTTTTCAATTAATTAGGCAATTCGAAAACAAGACCCATCGAACTTCCGTAAAGTGTGCCAAGATTGCAATAAATTCATAATGTCTCTTAATATTGAAAAACGATGTGCATACCTCATATACATCAAATAATGCAACAAGATTTGTGGACAAACACGTCGTTATCAAATTGCACATGTTTTGGTTTTTTTAGCGTTTTCCCTACGTGACGTCATAAATTTTACGGTTGAGTAATTCTGAATACTGATTTTGATGCGCAGTAACTAAATTTCCCATCTGACCAATTTTCGTAATTTTCGGTCATGTGGTCAAATTTTTATCGACAATTATGCTACCCTGCGTTTCTTTTTCCTTTCAGTATATAAGGTGTATGCCGGTGTATTTTATCGATTTCTTATCTATTCTTTAAATCCCTTTTTCATACATTTCACAGGTGTGTTTTTACTTACTGAAGCCATGATATATTTCTTGATTTTCTTTCTTTGTAGGCTACGATGTTTTGTTTTGTTTGAAACTGAGTCGTTTATACTTACCAGCGCATACTATACACGTTTAAGATATTTAGTTCTTGTCCTAGTTGTTTTATAAAATCAAAAAAAAAATCATCTAAGAAAATGTTACGTTTCGAGAATTCCCTTTTACAAAAAGTATTGGAAATCGAAAATTAAGGGGAGGGGGCGCAGATTTTTAGACAGGAGATGGGGTAGAGTGTTGTACATGAACAAGTGAATATAAATAAACGCTGTCAAATAACTAGAATTGATTTAATTGAATAAAACATTAACACAATAAAAATTTCATGTTTAACTTCACATTAAAAAAAACATAAAAGCTAAAGGCCTTATTTATCATATAGGTGGCTCATTCACTATGTCTTTATTGTCCAGAAAAAAATGAATCATTGACCACGTTGAACTCTTGGTGATAAAACAATACATGTTGTAAATAAATGCCCTATATAAAAAAGTGAATTAAATCCCACTCTCCCATCTTTCTCCATTTCGATTGCTTTATCCTTTCTCTCAATTGGTCAAAGTGTCAAATGATGCGAATAATTACTGACTGATAAAACATGCTAAAAATCTTGCAAATATGCGATGGAATTTATAAAAAAAGAAATACCAGCCTGTTTGACGATCGTATGATAATACAAGGTTTCAGTCATGATGATGATATTTCTTAAAATTAAGCTGCAAAATGACTTGACAGTTTGTAAACATTGCTAAGCCTTGAATAGCAACTTGGCCTTTCTGACGTCATACCGGTATGTTAAGGGAGATTAGCGACGCATGTCAAAGCCTTTTTCCTGAAATGATTGACGAAAAAGTATCAACAGTCCCGCTCAAAGTTATCATGTTGTATGTTTTATGGTTGATGTAATGACATTGTCAGCAAATACAATTTATTTATGAGTCAAATGTTGACTGGCGTTTTCCATACTATTTATTTGTCCATTATTTATACTTTGAACTGACGACTGATTTTCCGTTATTTTCCGATCATGATAAGGGGTACCCGGCGGGTGTGACCGGTTGACAGGGGTTGCTCACTCCTCCATGGCACCTGATCCTTCCTCTGATGTTCTGGAACCCTGTGTTTGCTCTGCTCCTATTTTGTTTTGTTTATGGACTTTGAGATCGAATATTTGTTGGATTATTGATCTTTAATACTATTCATTATCTCCGTATATTTCATTTCTTCCATTTTTTTTATACTGAAAGCCTACTGTATTGAAAGCAGTTTTGTGGTAGTAAGTTATCGATTAAACAGGCGGCATGATAAATAACTATTCTTAACGTGGCTATGTTATGCGGCAAAGTCTTCGTCAGGGTTAGTTGAAAACCATTCCAAGCTTTCCCTGACGACAGATACGAAGTCTATGGGGGGGGATTCAAAAGATCTACTCAAGAATCCTCTGCTCTGTAGCCTTTGTCCTAACTTAGGTATTTTAAAACCCAGAGATCTTTATCGTCTGTAAATAATGCAATACAATGTGTGTATATCAAATGCATCAAATTGTACAAGATGTGTTAGCAAATATTTTGTATTCAGTTTGTACGCGTTTTTGGCTTTTAAGCACTTTCTCTTCCTGACGTCAAACATTAAACAGTCGAGTAATCATGAACACTAATTTTAGTACATAGTACGTAAGATTTTCATTAAAACAGTTTGCAAAATTTTCGGTCATGCTTTGATGCTTGCGCATTTTTTTTCCTTTTGGTATATTACAGAACTCGATTTACAAAGGGAATAACTATAATGATAATGAATACTCAAAGCTCGTTACATCGTCGCAAACCACGGCCAAAATGTACGCTCCTCTCCCATCTGGCCGTGGTTGAAAGAGGAGAGAATTCTTCGTAGGTCATTAAAATATTGACCTATGCGAGTAAAGCATAGTTTGATGATGAACTTTATCGCGACCTTTCAATATGCAATCGCATTAGAGGAAATATTTCTTGTACACTGTTGACATCAGTTGTTGATTTTGATTGCGATCGAAACAAAACTTGCCACTGACTGAATATGACGTCACAATAGAGAGACGTAAATATTCAAGATTACGACACTTTTTGTGATCAAGCAGCCACGGGTAGGAGCGAGCTACATGTATATATGCGGACTCCGGACCATGGCTTGAGACGATGAGCTCGTTAGTGCAGATCCTTCGTAGGAAAGAATAGTTATCTTAAAATATAATTGCATCGGTGTGTTTCTTCTAATGATGAGATATGATGCATTTGTAATCAGGAAAATTCTCATCTCTTTACAACAAAATCAAGCTCAGAGATCGAACATTTTCATCATGCATTATCCCCGGAAGCAAATTGGAAAGGGGGGATTAAAAGAGAAAACAAATCAAAGATGGAAAAAAAATTAAGAAACTATAAAAAAGGAAAATTTTCCATTGTCTAAACCCGAAAACCCGTGTATGTTAGAAGTTGGGGCTAAACATACGCCCCAATCTTCCACACCTTTATAATATCTATCTTTGCAGAAAAAAAGGATAAGCCCCTCCCTCCCGTTCTGTCGCCTATGTCTTGAATGAGTATGAGTATGAATGGGTTTTTATACCGTTTATTTTCCCCTTTAAAACCTTAATAATTTCTATTTTTAGAAAATTAGAATTACATTTGTTCCTTTTGTGTCTATTATATAATAATGTTTACATTATTAACATTATCATTATTATTATAATTTCAGAGAAGATTATTCGACTTCTTCTTATCGGAAAAACTGGTGTAGGAAAAAGCACGACTGGGAATATCATCCTTGGAAGGAACGTATTTAAAACTGGAACATCTCCGAATTCAGTCACAAAAGTGTCCCAAGCAAACGAGACAAGTAATCATGAGAAACAAATAGTGACTGTTATTGACACACCTGGCTTTTTTGACACAACAAAAAAATTAACTGAAATCGAAGATGATATCACGCGGGCATTCATGCTTGGCTATCCAGGATTCCACGCTATTCTTTTTATAATTAAAATTGGTAGGATTATAGAGTTTGAAGAACAGTTTATTGATTTTTTTAAGCAAAGATATGGAGAAAGCATATTTAATTACATCATAATTGTTTTCACGGGAAAGGATGATCTTGACTCTGAAAAAAAGACCATTGATGCGTACGTTCATGAAATTGATAGTCATTCTAAACTAGCTGATTTTATTCAAAAAACAAGGGGTAGATATATTGCGATTGGTCGCCCAAATCCGTCAGCAGACCATAACTTCAATGAAAAGCTTTTTGAAATGATTAATAATATGGTCGAGGAAAATAACAGAAAAGAAAGCCCAATTTACACCCACCAGTTATTCGAATTAAGCAGGAAGCTTAGCGATGAAGAAAAGCAGAAAACACAACTAGAAATGAAAAATGCTGATCTTACAATGAAAAATTCAGAATTAAAGAAACTTGAAAAGGACAAGCTAGAAGAAATGGTGAAAATACTCAATGAAATTGCAAGACAAAATTCAAATCGTTTCAAAATAAATTTGTACTTTCAATTTTCATTTTAGAAAACCAATGTTATGTGTACTTTTAGTCCACTAACTGACTACTTTAAAACCTTTGAATCGATTTCATAAAAGGTAAGTTTGATCAAGAACAGCAAAAAAGATATTTCTGTCAGTATCAGAATTTAAACTTAATTTTTAAAACTAATCAATTTCTCCCTGTTCTGTTTGTCAATGAACAACGATTGAGTGGTTTCATTTTGGTAAAATAAAAAAAAAATAATTAAAACATAATTACCGCACCGAAAGCAAGTTATCAATTTTATTGTTAACATTGTTTAGATATAGTCCTAACTCCTTAGAAAGCTGTCTGATGTGGGAAATTTAAATTCTGGCACTCGTTATTCACTCATTGCTAATGTTTATAAAATACAAGTAGGTAGCATATACCATATTTGACACATGGCTCTCAAAAGCTTAGGAACAAAAATAAGGTACATTCTCCATACAATTTTTTCTCTCTTAAATATTTTGGATGGTTTTACCATATTTTAGCCGGATGAATATGTACCCCCTTCCGGCATACCAGTCATGTTCATGCATACATATAGATGTCTGATGATAATTCGTTATATCGCTATTATCTCGCAGTTACATGATTCTAATTTACTAGCGCTCTTTTGCAAGTGAGTCTAAAAAGCGATAAATCTCGCAAGGTTTCTGGGGCACATGACTTGTTTACCGTAGTGGCAATCGAATGATTCAACGATTTTATTTGAAAGTACAATTTATTTCCAAGTATTGAACTCCAAATTGTAGATTTTCAAATAAGGAAAGTTTTGAATATTTTATCAGTTTTGAAAGGTGATAACTTAAATGAAAAATATGAAAAGAATCTGCTTAGTTAAAAATATTGTTAAATATGTAACATTTTAGGATAAGCTCCTCTCCATAATTGATTAGTTCAGCGATTGTTTAGCAAGGTAATCCACTGGGATTTTTAGGTCACTTGAGTAAACTCAGGTGACCTGTTGCTACCTCTTTTTGTCCGTCGTCGTACGTCGTACGTCGTACGTTGGTCGTAAACATATGAACATTCTTCTCTTGAACCACTAAACCAATATCAACAAAATTTGGTTTAAAGCATCTTTGGATAAAGGGGAACAAATTTTGTGAATTTCATGGTCCCTGCCCCCGTGGGGCCTGAGGGGTGGGGCCAAAACCAATAAAAATTAATGCAATCTTTAAAAAATCTTCTTCTTTACTCCTGGACATCAAGCAGTCATATTGTTTGCATGTTTGTAATCAGCATTAAGTCCTCTATCAACATTGTGAAATTCATGGCCCTGGGGTCAGGGGCTCTAGTGCTAGGGCGAGGCTAAATAGATTATATAATGAAAATGCATTATTTCTTTGAAAATCTTCTTCTCTGCTCATGGGCATTGAATAAACTAAGTAAGTACATAGTTACGGTGAGCAAGAGTGCCTCTTTGAAAGTTGTGAATTTTATGGCCCAGGAGTCAGGGGTTCTGGTGTAAGGGTGGGGCTCTATTGATTATATAGTGAAAATGCATTCTTTGAAAATCTTCTTCTCTGCTCCTGAGTATTAAATAAACTAACTAAGTACATAGTTATGATGAGCAAGAGTGCCTTTTATAAAATGTGAATTTTATGGCCCAGGGGTCAGGGGTTCTGGTGTTAGGGTTGAGCTCTATTGATCATATTGTGAAAATGCATTAATTCTTTGAAAATCTTCTTCTCTGCCGCTGGGTATTAAATAAACTAACTAAGTACAAAGTTATGAGGAGCAAAAGTGCCTTTTCCAAAATTGTGAATTTTATGGCCCCAGGGTCAGGGGTTCTGGTGTTCGGATGGGGCTCTATTGATTATCATGATTATATAGTGAAAAAAAATGCATAAATTCTTTGAAAATCTTAAATTCTGTTCTGCTCCTGGGTATAAAAAAACTAAGTACATACATGTACAGTACCTGGCCATAAGTCTGTCATAAAATGGCTGACGTAACGTAACGTGAACAACGTGAACGCAAAATTCAAAAATAAAAAAAATTCTATAAATATTAAGCACTTACCTTTTTATCTCTAGTATTTAGTTGCATGACCCTTAGATTTAATAACTTGTCGAATTCGCCTTGGAATTGAAGCATACAGACTCTGAATGTAGTGCTGAGGCAAGGACCACCATATTTCCTTTACTTTCAAGATGAGGTCTTCACGATTATGAATATTGTAAACCTGTCTCTGAAGACGTATTGTTATGGTTTTCCACACATTTTCAATTACATTGATATCTGGAGAATGTGATTGCCAAGTAATACATTTAATTTCGTTTTCAGTTTTCCGTGATTTTGTGGCGTTAGAGGAGTAAACCGGTGCATTATCATCTTGAAATAAATAGTCACCATTCGGGAAATGGCGCAAAATAACTGGCCATAAATTTGTATCCAAAATGTTAATGCATTTTTGGGAATTAATATTCCCATCTACCTCTGTAAATGTTCCGATTCCTTCGTGAGTAATACACCCCCAAAACATCGCCGAGTACTTTCCGTTTCCACGGACGCCAAGACACTCTGGTCGCCATACTTCGTCGGGTCTTCTCCAGATGTAAACGCGCTTATTCTGGTCAATCACAACCTGGGTTTCGTCGCTGAAAATCACCTTTTTCCAATTATTATTCACTGTCCAATGTAATTTCCCTCGACACCAATTTACACGGCGGGTGCGGTTTACAGATCGAATTGTAAGGGTCTTCCTGGTTTTCCTTCTTGTAAAGTTTAAAAATCGCAACCGTCTTCTTACCGTCCGTGAAGAGATAGAACTTGGTAACTTCGAGTTCACTTCATCAGTTATTTCACCCAAAGTTTGCCGTCTGTTGAGTTTCACACATCGAAGTATCTTACGATCTCCTCGTACATCAGTTTTTCTAGGTCGACCGCTTCGATGCCTATTTTCGCTGGATCCGCGCGTCTTGTATCGCTTGAGAAACTTGGAAATCCCAGACTGGCTCACAGAAAGAATAGCTGCTATGTCCTGTTGGGTGTATCCACTCTCAGACATAGTTATTATCGCATTTTTCATAGGGGTAGACATTTGTTTACCTTTAGTAGCCATCTTGTCAGTTGCTAAATATTTGACAGATATTGCGTCACTTTTATAAAATGACGTCATAGAATTATTGTATACACTCTATAGAAAGGAACTATTCAACAGCAGCTTGCATAGAGCGATTTATTTACCAGCGCTAAAGAAAAAAAATGGCTTCCTGAATTTTGATATTTCAACAGCCATTTTTATGACAGACTTATGGCCAGGTACTGTAGTTATGATAAGCAAGAGTGTCTCTTCCAAAATTGTGAAATTTATGGCCCCACGGTCAATGTTTCCGATGTTAGGGCGGGGCTCTAATGATTATATAGGGAAAATACATTAATTCTTTCAAAATCTTCTCACCTCCCAGGTTTTAAATAAACTGACTTAGTATATAGTTATAATGCCTCAACAAAATTTGTGATTTTCTTGGCCCCTGTGTCAGGGGATTTGCCATTTGTTTATAGGGGGTGGGCTCTTTTGATTATATAGTGAAAATACATTATTCTCTGAAAATAATTTCCTTTGCACCTGGGTATTATGTTAATGATGCAAGTATATATATTTATGATGAGCACGTCAGTGCTTCTTCCACACTGATTAATTTCATGCTGCCCCCTTGGTCAGGGGTATCGGGGGGGGGGGAAGGGGGTACATAGTCTGAAAATTAATTAATGCTTTGAAATCTGCTCTTTGGTATTAATCTACCATTTATGATGATGTTAAATTTATGATAAAATTTCCATAATTTTGAAATATGTGGCCCCATGATCAGTGGTTCATAGGGGTGAATTGCACAACTGGTTTTAAAGTGGAATTGTATTTTCTCTTTGTTACTCTGATCTACCTCTGGGTATTAAGTAAATAGAGTAAGCATGTTTAGTTTATAATTATTATAAGCAATGGTGCTTCTTTTAAAATTGTGAATTTCATGGCCTCTGTTTTAAAACAAGAACCAAATTCAATTGTTGGAAAGTTGTTACATGATACTCAGGTGACCTATAAGGCCCTTGGGCCTCTTGTTAACTTATCTATCCTTATGTATTCTACAACGATAGATCTTTCGTTGTATTCAAAAGCACATTTGCCCCTATCCAACAGACGTTTCCTACGTCAATCACAAACGAGTTCAGCTAAGCTAAGTAATCGCGAAATCAAGTATTGGAGCAGGTGTAAAGTTTTGTCTAACTTAGTGTAAATACTTAACAGTTTTATTTCTGCTTTATATTCGTTTAATCTTTCTAAAAAATGTAAGGGTAATGTCTCACGAGCTTAGGCTCCATGTATACTTTTATTGCAATTCTGTTGTGCTAGACAGTGTCAACTAATGAAAATATAGATCTAGCCAGCTGATTCCTTTGTTAGCAATATTGTTTATTTGAAACATCGTTGATGATGTTCTATACATACATGCGTCTATGTGTTGCACACTACACTAGTTTTATTTGACTTTCAATTCATTCATTATAATGTTCACACTTAAATCATTTTAAACACATTAACCCTCCAAATTAAAGCCCATCGTCCATGTAACAAATTTTATGAATTCATAACACAGCTACTCACACAAAGCATTTTACACTTACATCTTGCATCATGTTCAAACTGATCATGAGCTCCAAGCTTCGTTTTTGTTTTTGTAGCTTATTTATGTTGAATGTAGTGAATAGATGTTGCTTCATGTTGTTTGAGTCTTTAATTTTGGACATGCTCGATGTTGGCGGCCCATTTCCTTTGATGTATTTGATTTGCTTAAATAATCACTTCAACCCTTAATTTACATACACATTATGTACAGATAATTCTACACCTTACTTGAAAACATGCTATTAAAATAAAAGTATTGTGCTCGTTGTTTGTTGTTTGTGACCCATTCTACACATCACATGATTGCATGTAAAATTAACTATTATTGAATGATCAAGAGTTAGCTACATGGTTTTATGTGTAGATTTATGTTGTTTGTGTGTTTATTTTGGGGCATGCTCAAC